TCATTTTGGGGGTGTCCTTGGACCCAACGGGGTCCTTGGGACTGAATAGCGCCTCACCTCCAACAATTGTCCATATTCCGTAGAACCTACACTTGCCAAGCACCTGCCCTGCACCTGGCACTCCACACGGGCATCTACGCGGGTTTTTCATTTCAACGCAAGTCAACTTGAACACTCCCTACGCCTCCACGCCAAACTTGCAGGCAAATGTGTAGTGCGTGAATAAATAAGTCCAACTTCAATAAGAAATGAGTTCTTTCATGACAATCAGTGGAAATCAGATCAGGAAAAGATGGAGGAGGGGGAGTAAGTCAGTTGAACTTCTACAGTGGGACAGTGGGGACGTGGCAGCAGTGGCCTTGGAGAAGTTATTGTCCTGTCCTGGCCCTGGGCAGCCCTCCACTGCCCCGCCAGCAGAGGTGAGGAGCGGGGGCCGGGGGCTGGTGACATGGACACAGTGGGCGGGGGGGTTTGCCAGCATGCTCCAAGCTCTGGGGGAGGCGACAGCCAACAAGAGCATCAGGAGGAAAGAGAAAGAGCACAGTCTGAGAGGATGCGCCAAACCCCAGCGTCACTGGGACCCGTCAACAAACGGGACGCCCCAAGGAACACAGGATGCCTCCAACGTGACTGCTGCCTCCGGAGGGTCTGCTGAACACCCAAGCCTGCAGGGTCGCCTCAGTGCTCAGACAGCCTAGTGGGGCAGGAAGGACACGGAGGACCCGAAGCCGCGGGAGCGAGTGTCCAGCGAGCCGAGAGAAGGGGCTTTCTGAGTCGAGGAGAGATCAAAACTGCAGCATGGCAGACAGGGCCGGGCTGGGACTGGCCTCGGAGGAGAACGTGAGGACAGGGCCACTGTGTCACAGGCATCCTTGAAGATAAGAGCTTCTAGAGGAGGATGTACGAAGGGGCAGCTCGGTTGATACTTTTTTTTTTTTTAACATTTATTCATTTTTTTAATATACTGGGTGAATATATTTGCAACATATATCAGATAAATGACTAATATCCCTAATATATAAAGAACTTTTTAAAATATAGTTTATTGTCAAGTTGGCTTCCATATAACACCCAGTGCTCATCCCCACAAGTGCCCTCCTCCATGCCCATCTCCCCCCTTCCCCTCCCCCACCCCATCTGCCCTCAGTTTGTTTTCAGCATTCAAGAATCTCTCATGGTTTGCCTCCCTCCCTCTCCCCCACTATTTTTTTCCCTTCTCCTCCCCCATGGTCCTTTGCTAAGTTCCTCCTAGCATTTATTCATTTTTGAGAGGCGGAGCATGAGCAGGGGAGGGTCAGAGAGAGAGGGGAACACAGAATCTAAAGCAGGCTCCAGGCTCTGAGCTGTCGGCACAGAGCCTGATACAGGGCTCAAACTCATGGACCTCGAGATCATGACCTGAGCCGAAGCTGGGCATTTAAACAACTGAGCCCCCCGGGCACCCCCAGCTGATTCTGAACCGAGGGCCTTCCTCTCTGTCCTGCTTGCACGCGCCTCTTCTGCTCCCCGGTGTGAGGCCGCAGGCCCCGCTGCGGGTTGGTGGCGGTTAGCTGCAGAGCATCTGGAAAACTAGGTCCTCCAGACCCTGCTCCGCCAGAGAGCCCTCAGGGGCATAAATGCAGCAATCCATCAGACAGAAAAGCCAGACGTGGGAAAAACATTTCTAGGTCACGAAAGGCCAGCGCAGAAACATGTCCCAGAAGGCTCGGGGTCTGAAAAAGAGAGATTTTTCTGTGATATGGGAAGTGCCTTGATGACCATAGAAGATGGGGGATCTCAGAAGAGGGAACCCCAGGCACACGTGCACGCACACATCCATGCATGCACACGAACGCGTACACAGTCTCTGTATCTCACTGATAGCGGCTTTTGAATCTTTTTTTTTTTTTTTTTTTTTTGAGACGGGCTACATCTATGTATCTCTAGCATTTCTGTAAATGGCACAGCAGCCAGGACACTGAGCCACACCGAGTGTCCCCTGCGACTGCTCCGTAAACCAACTGTGGCTAACTTTGCTTGTGGGGCGGCCCTCCCTGATGCGGGCAAAGGAAAACCAGATCAATGGCCAGGGAGGAGCGCGTGGGTCACGCAAGGGTGCTGATCCCAGGGTCTCTGGGGACTATGATTTCTAGGTCAGTAGGCAGCTTCCCGGGGGTCCCTCCAACTCAAGGTGACCTGATAAATGCCAGACCTGAAATACATTGACCCTCGTTCCACTGCAGCTAGGACACCGCCGCCCGTGCCGCAGCTAAAACTCAGTGTGCCCTGCACCTGAGACCCTGTTCCCTGGGAAACCGCTTCTCTGCTTGGGTCCCTTTCTTGCCACTGGGTTTCCCGAGCGACAAACATGGGCATGAGCCTTCACTGTGGCTCTCTCCTGCCTGAGCGAGTCTACCTCCCAGGTGCTCGCGACCCTTCCTCCTGTTACTGCCATGGAGATGCCCCACGGACACACAGCTAGACCATAACTAGGTCCCAGTTGCTCTCTGACCTTCTACCTTTACCCTACACCCAACACCCCTGCCCCAGAAGTCTTCTGGGTGCACACGGGAGTACGTCACTCCCCAGTTTAATATCCTTCGGTGACCCCAAATGTCATTCAAAAAGGAGCCCAGCTCCCTGGCAAGGCTTACCCGAGTCCGAATCGGGAGCCTCTGTCCTTCATGCTCAGCTCTCCCCATAACACAATTCTCCTGTGAAGATTCTCGTGTGCTTCGGAGCCAGACCCTCCCACCCCGGTCCCCATAGACTTGTGGAGCGCCATGTCCTCTGACTGCTGGCTTCCTTCCGATTCCACCTCAAGGGTGTGGCGAGCGGGAGGACATGGGCAGTGCCTTGTTCACTGTGCAATCCCTTGCCCTGTGCTTTGCACACAGTGGGCGTCGATGTGCAATGCCACATCAGGGGCTGTGATACAAGGATATTAGCGGCACAGACGTGTCTTGGAAAAGTCCCTCAGTCCCCTTAGAGCTCCAGTTAGAAACCAATAGTTGCAGAACGATGCCTTTTTGACATGCACGTATATGGGGCTTGTTAAATTGCTAGCATGTTTATTTTTAAACACTGAAACATTGGGTGGTTCAGTCCCTTAAGCGGTGGACTTCGGCTCAGGTCCTGATCTCATGGCCCGTGGGTTTGAGCCCTGCATCCGGCTTTGTGCTGCCGGCTCAGAGCCTGAAGCCTGTTTCTGATCCTGTGTCTCCCTCTCTCTCTCTACCCCTCCCCCACTCACGCTCTGTCTCTTTCAAAAAGAAAATAAACATAAAACCGTTTTCTTTTTTTATATAGCTTATCGTCAAATTGATTTCCATTCAACACTCAGTGCTCACCCCAAGTGCCCTCCTCGGTGCCCATCACCCCACTTTCCCCTCTCCCCCACCCGCCATTCACCCTCAGTTTGTTCTCAGTATTTAAGAGTCTCACGGTTTGCCTCCCTCCTTCTCTGTAACTTTTTTTTTTTTTTAACGAGAGGTATTGTTCTACCCGCCCTCCCATGTCCTTTAACTATTTGTTTTGGATAAACTACTAACCCACTTAGAACCGTTTCTTCTGCACAACTAGCCCTTCGAGGCTGTGCCGTTTACCTGCAGATACATTCGTCTGAAGGCGTACATTCACACACCTGCAGGCACAACTTACTTTCAGGACCTCCCACGATACCGCTCACTTTAGGTCTCCCCCCCCCCTTCTTTTAGTTTTCCCATCGCAGAGCGGAACAGAATAACCGAAAACACTTTGCCTAGCACCTTTCAGGAGCGAAAACCAGGGCGTAAGACAACGCAATGGTTTCTAAGTGCCCGGTTAAGACCCAGCCCCTCCATCCCGACAGGTGAGGCACCGACGCTTCTCACGCCTGAATCCGTTCACTCCCGGAGTCTTTTTACCTAACGTAGTTCTGCAGGCTCCGTGCCTGGCATCAACGGGCTCCGGCTGCTTTTGCCACCAGACGGGCTGCAGAAGTAGTATATTAACAAGTTAACCTCGTTCCTTTGCAGAACCCATCTGCCCAGAGCGGTGAGCGAGAGCGCGGTGAGACACATCACGTGACGGCCCGGTCACGATGCAGAGGTTTCCTCACGTGGTTTACGATCCGGCCAAACTGAAGAATAAAATAAAATCCCATTGGCGCAGCTGAAGCCCGGCCTGTGGGGCGGGGCCGACACGGAAGGAAGAGGGAGGGCCTCGGGGCGGGGCCTGGGCGGGGCCTCGGGTCGGGGGCGGGGCCCGGTGTCCCGGCGAAGCTGCCGTTAGCGCGGCCGCGGGCTTCCTCAGCGGGCCCTGCGCTCCGGCGCAAGGGCGCCTTCGAGACTGGGGAGCGCCGCGGCGGCGTGGAGGGGGCGAGGCCGGGAGGTCGCCGTTCACGCCAGGCCACGTCCCGCCGGCTGCAGAAGTTGTTTCCATCCGTTTCAAACGTGGCTTTTCCACGCCTGACTTGCCCCCTGCTCTCTCCATCCTGCACCTGCGCCTCGCGTGCCGGCCGGCCGCCGCCGATGCAGCCCCACGCTCCCTTCCCAGACCGGGCTCGGCTCTCCCGGCCGGCCCCCCGCCGCCGCCGCCGGCGGCGCACCGGGACTGCCGAGGCGGCCCCCTGGAGCCGGCGCGCTTCAGGGGAAGTGGGGGTGGGACCGGGGCCGCGCGCAGGGGCGGGGCTGCGGGGGGGGGGGAAGAGAGCGTTAGGGCACGTGAGGGCGGTTCGGCCAATGGCGGGGCGCCTGGGGGCCGGCGGGGCGGGGCCGGCGCGGGGGCGGGGCGGGGGCGGCGGGCCGGGCCGGGCCAGGGGGCTGGGGGAGGGGCGGGGCGGGCCGGGGGAGGGGCGGAGAGACGCCGCCGCCGCCGCCGCCGCCGCCGCCGCCGCCGCCGCCGCCGCCGCCGCCGCCGCCGCCGCCGCCGCCGCCGCCGCCGCCGCCGCCGCCGCCGCCGCCGCCGCCGCCGCGAGCCTGGAAAAGGGGAAGTGCGAGCAAGCCAGCGACTCAGTCCCCGGCGGCGGCGGCGGCGGCGGCAGCAGCGGCGGCCGGGGTTCGCGACGGCCGGGGCGGGGACCCTGCTGCTGCTGCTGCTGCTGCTGCTGCGGGGGGCAAGCGGAGGCGGCCCGCACCAGCCATGCCGAATAAAAACAAGAAAGAGAAAGTGAGTCCGGGCCCGGGCCGCCGGACCGGCCGGGGCGGGAAGGGGAAGGGGCCGCGCGGAGGGCGGGCGGGGAACTGCCCGGGAGCGGGGTGCGGCGGGCGCAGCAGCGCCGCCCGGGCGTGGGGGCGGGCGTCCAGACCCGCACGGGCCGGCGTGCGGGGGAGCGGCCGCCGTGGGGGCGACGTGGGCGCCCGGCCCCGGGCGGCGCGCGCCGTGGGCGTGAGAGGGCAGGTGCGGCCGCGGAGGTGGTTGACCCAGCCTCGCAGACGCCTGGGAGGGACCCCCGGGCCGGGGGCAGGGGCGCGAATGGACCCGCTGTGTGCCGGTGAAGAATTGTCTGCGCTCCAAGCGGACGCTCCCGGGCTCTGAAATACTATTATTATCCTGGGTGGCGGCGGGGATGGCCGTGAGTGTGCTGCGTTGCATTTGGGGGGGGGGGGGGGAACGCTTCTGTTCCAGGTGTAGCTCTGTAGCGTCTCAGAATCACCCCAGAAATCCCGGCTCGCGGGCTTAGGTGGGAGGCCAGAAAGGGCTACAGTGTGGATCTGAATGTGGGTTTGTCTATTTCTGCTTGAAGTTTTCAACGCCAAATACAGATCAGGAAAACAAAGGAGGGTCTGAACTGCGGGGGGGGGAGGGTGGGGGGGGTCACATCGCAATAAACGACGTGAGGCAGAATTTCTTGGTGGTACTGATTAAAATGGTGAGAAGTTCTAGTTAAATGGCATAAATCCGTTTTTAAACTGCATTTGGGGTTAGCTGATGTTTGGCAGTCTAAAAATTGAGAAGTCTAATTGATTCTGCTTGATGTTTCCCAGGAATCACCAAAAGCAGGGAAAAGTGGAAAAAGTTCAAAAGAAGGACAAGACATAATAGAATCAGAGGTAACTGCTCTCATATATTCCCTTTCTGTTTTGTCATGAACACCTTTTGACTAAGGGCAGGGAAACAGGGTGGTAAAGAAAGCATCAGGGTCTGCTGGGGTGGTGGTCCTGCATGAGACTTTCTCGGCGTCTCCTTCGTGCCCTGAAATATTGGTTCTGTAGGGTTTTACTGTTTCAGTCTGGGAAAATACAGATGTGTTTCTAGAAGCTGCATCTGTGCAGCTGGTATTTCTAAGTTCAGACCCCCGCCTCAAATGTAGCAACTCTCCTGCAGGGACTGATTTCACCACTGTCATTCGGGCTCCCTGTGGCTCTCAGATTGTCCCCAGCCCTCCTTCACCAGCGACCTGGTCCCTCTCGGCAGCCCCTCTTCCTCCTGTCACCTTGCCTTTCTCTGGCCAGGCCTCTGCCGCACGTGTCACACGCTCCCTCTTCGGTTGATGTCTGATCCCCTTAGCCTGTTTTCCCCGGAGCATCGGTACCGTGCAGTTTATCTGGTTCGGGCATGTTTATACAACCTCCTCTCTTCCACATGTGTTTTCTGTCTGCGTGGATCAGTTGTGACGACTTCTGTATCTCACCCTCGGGCTCCTTGAGCAGCAGCCCAAAGGCTCAGGGAGGCTCGCATCTACCTTGTGGGGTTGAGGGTCGTTCCTTTGACACTGTTTAGAGCCTGTGCAGACTTAGCGCTCTGCCTCGTCTTTTCTCCGCTGTGACGACTGATTGACCTGGGGCACCTCGGGCTGAGGGCCCAGAAGCTGACTCCACCCAGGCAGACCTAATGGGCCCGTGAATCAAACCACTTGATTTGGTGTCCCGGTCTCCAGGGCCTGAGATCATCGAGGCCCCTGGTCTTATCACAGATGACATCAGTTTGTAAGGGTCAGACCTTTTCCTGTAAGTCAAATTAGAATGAGTTCAATTCTGTCTGAAAAACAGTTAATCGGCAATTATCCACCCTGAGCTTTTTTTTTTTTTTTTAAGTGCCAGGGTTATCTTTCCCTTACTGTGTGGTGCATCCTAAGCCTCCGTCCTCTCCAGCAGGTGGTTTATTCCAGCAAAATCTGTTGCCCTCCCCAGAGCAAAAAGGAGAAATCCCAAAAAGTTCCTTAAATAGCTAGGGATTGTTTGTGCCAGTCTTTCCCTGCCCTTTGTTTATAGCCGACAATCAAGTTTTACTGTGGTATTCTCTCGCTTTTGACCTATTTCCGTGTCACTCTTTGGACTAGATTGATTTAAATGCAACGTAGCCATTTTGCAAGGTGGATGCTTTTTCTTGCATTTATCGAGTTTTCTTCGCAGCCACTAAGGCTTCCGGTGCTCCCCCAAACGTTTCTTGAGTCCATGCCTGTCTCCTCTCACGGTCAGTGTGTCACAAAGACTATCAGCGTGCGTCGTTCATTTATTCCCGTTCGAGCAGAAAGAACCCGGCTGGAAGGGTGGGTAATGTTAAGTTTGAACCTGAACCATCCCTCGGCGGTGCAGAGAGAACCAGAAGCACTCATGAGTCAAATGCGTGTTTTCAAGGTGGATTGGAGTCCTAGACTGTCCGTTGCTTAAGACTCTTGAGGTGTGGCCCTCCGTGCCTGAGTGTGATGCTCCACGTGTGTTTTTGTATTTTTTCTAGTGCTACTAGGAGCTGGAGCCACAGAGCTTGAATTGCCACCGAAAAATACTGAAATGGTGGGCCGTTCCTCATAACGACAGCAGAGCCAACATGGCACACTTAAGCATGATGGTTGGCAGAGCCCGTGTCCGTGATTTTGCAGAAATACAGATTGGGGCACTGCAGTTCGCCTGAACTTTGCGTTGAGCCTGACTTTTTTTTTTTTTTTTTTTTTTTTAATCGTTGCCTTTCCTCCTACGTCTTCATGTCGCTCCTTCACCTCTGGTTCCACCCACTTACCAAACATGATTGACTCAGGTGCATTAAACCCTCATTCTTTTCCTCTCCTGTCAACGCCGCTCTGAACTTGAATGTTTTAACCTGAACAATTCAGATAGGACTGCCATTCAGGGCTGCTTTCCGGACCCGTTCAGCCTCCTATCGCTTTCACGGGCAGGTCAGCCTGTGAACTGGCCTGTGTCGGGGCAGCTGCCGCATTCAAGGCCTCACAGCTTGAGAGGCGGGTGTACAGGCACCAGTCCAGGGCAGGGTGACCAGGCTTGGGAAGTAATCCCAGCAGAGGAAACCTAAAAGAACTTGGCCTGCGGTTGACTAGCCTAGCACACCACTTCAAGACTGGAAGAGGTCCTCATACTAAGACCCCGGCTGCCCATGACCTAGCCTTGTGGAAGACAAAGGAGCAAGTGGCTTACACTGCAGAACACTTTTTGGTTAAACAAAAGAACGCTCGGTGCGTGGGGTCTGCAGGAAGGAACAGGAAGTGCCGCCGTAACAGATCATGAGGGATAGAGCGGTAGGGGAAGGTGTTTCAGCCCGGGGATTAGATAGTAAAAATGCTGACTCCTGATTGCCATAAATGATGTCAGCTAACTTCTGTGGCCCTGTTTCCTCACCCCTAAAAACACTTGGTGAGTTTCTGATGTGGCCATTTTTAACTCTAGGGGACAGATTGATTAGGCATGACCCACAAGTTCTCGAAAGACGTTTTCCCTGTGAGACATATGGCAGAATATATCTTCCAATGTAACAGAGTATTGTTAAGGCCCTAACTGCTGCTGTGCACATTTGGCTTTTTTCTAGAAACTTCTACTCCTTGAATGACGTGTGTTGGTACTTTTGTTTGTTTTACTCGCTTTCAAATATGGTGTTTAAGTTTGACTTCTTCAGTTGTGCCCTGGAAACAGTTTCTGCCCAGTACTTTCGGGTTTATTTATTTCACCGCGCACTTTGAAGGAGGGAGGCTCCCCGGGAACTGGAAGTTGGAGAACTCGGGAGGTGGGCTGAGGGAACGCAGCTTTGAGCAGCCGTTCTCACTGTGACCTTCCGAGCTGTGGAAGCCTCGTGAAGCACACTTGATGAATATTTAGAATCTTAGTAAGTTGCTCAGAGATTCCTAAAGCCCATTTCAGACGATCAAGACCATGCTATAGTACTAATTGTTTGTAGTAGTTGTTTTACTATGTATCCTTTGTCCAAAGTTCTGTTTCAAAAGCGTTGATGCTCTTTGTCAAGTGACTTGTTTCAAGCACATTAAAGGTTGTTTGCGTGTTGTTTTTTGGCTGTGTATTTTGCATGTCCTGCTTCAGCTTAGTTTTGTTTGAAAATCTCTACAGCAAGTCTTTTTTTTTTTAAATGTTTTACTTATTTCTGAGAGAGAGAGAGAGAGAGGCAGCATGAGCAGGGGAGGGTCAGAGAGAGAGGGAGACACAGAATCTGAAAACAGGCTCCAGGCTCTGAGCTGTCAGCACAGAGCCCGATGTGGGGCTCGAGCCCACGAACTGTGAGATCATGACTTGAGCCGAAGTCAGACGCTTAACCGAATGAGCCCCCCAGGTGCCCCACTACAGCAACTCTTAACATAATATCCGTTGCTGAAAAGAAAGTGGAACGGGTCTTCTCTCCAACCTGTTAGCTTATTTTGATACTTTCTACCTTTAGTAACAACTTTTTCTCACATCTGCCCCTTTCCATCTCCTCCAGCCCCCTTTGTGTTGCACAGAGGGCACGCAGCTGTAGCAGGGGGAGGCACGACTTAGAAATTAAAACTACTTCAAAAATATGACTCCATCTAATAATAATAATGACACCCATTCCACGGTAACGTAAATTCACACATTGATGAAAAACGTCCTTTCAAGAAAGTTTGACTTCCTAGTCACTCGGCTGTGTTTTAACCTGAGTGTTGGAGGACAGTGAAAGTGGTTTGTTGGTAGGTGTATTTTCCAGGGGAGGTGGCTGTGATTATCACCGCTTGAGACGGGAGTCCTCACCTCCTCCCCCAGAACACTGGAGCCACTGTCCGGGGGCTGAATTCTGAGCTCGGGCCGCCGCTGGGGCCTCCGCGCCGCGTTCCCCATCATTCTCTTCCCACTTTTTCCCCACACAACCCTAAACGGGACTCCAGGGAAACTCAGAACCCAAAAGACTAGCAGTTTAAATTTTTTTTTAATTCATATGCAACTATTACGTTGGAGTGGAATTCCCTACTTTTAACTGCAGCCCCTTGGCTCACTTTCCCAGCTGTCTGCAGCGTGTTTGCTGAAAGCCTGGTGATCAGGAAGGACAGAGGATCTGCAAAGGGGGTGATCAGCCGGGGGTTGGAGGGCATGTGAGTTAGGACGGGGTGCCGTGAGCTCCCCGTCCCTTCCCAGTGCCTACCTTGGCTCTGTGTGACCGAGTGACAAGTGCCTCCCAGGTGAGCTGCGCTGTGCTGAGCAGGCACCACGCTCACTGCTGTTGATGGACCAGATGCTTCCCCACGGGGCTGCCCTGTGCTCTGTGCACCATAGAATATTCCCCAGCAGGTGCTGGGAGTCCCCCCCCCCCGCAGCTTTGACAATCCAAAGTGCCTCCAGACATGGCCAGATGTCTCCTGGAGGGCAGAATGGCCCCCGGTGAGACCACTGTTATAGAAATTCTCCTCCACAAAGTGTGAAGTATGTATGTTTGCTCGTGAATCATGCCAGACACACATGCTTCCTTTAGCATAGCAGTGCTCAATCCAAAGGAGCATCAGCACCCCTTTACATGCTTAAAAATTACGATCCCCAAGAGCTTTTATTTAGCTCAGTTCTGGTCCATACTTGTGTTAGAAATTAAAAGTGAAATTTTTGAAGTATTCATTAATTCATCTAATAGTAACACACTTGATACATGTTAACATAAGTAGTCTGTGTTTATGGGAAATAACTATTCACAAAAATTCACTGAGAAAACTGGCATTGTATCATGTTTTTGCAAATTTCTTTAATGTCGGCCTTAACAAGCTAGCTGGCTCCTGGAGTCTGCTCCTGCGTTCAGTCTGTCTTCATGTCACGTGTCTTGTAGCCTGTGGAAAAGTGACATAATGGTGGTTATGAAGGCAAATCGTGTC